GTCTACACCTCCTTCACTCCCTCCCTCCCTCCTCTCTCTCTATCTCTCTCTCATCCTCTCTCCCCTTTTTTCAAAACATCAATTAATATTGAATTGAAAGAAAGAATTTATCGTCCAAAAATTTTCACAAAATTCTCACTTTTTCGGTAAAAAAACCAGCCGGTCTTTCATCTCCAAAGTTTTCTGCGAGTTTTTTGGCGCATACAAGCCTGAAAATAACTAATTGTTTTCTCCAATTCCTGCTAACAATTTTTTCAGAATATTAGCAACCAGAATGATCTTTCCTTTCATGCAATCGAAAATGACAACGATAAGTTTACAAATCTTCTAACCTTAAAATTCTGAAATTTACGAAAAAGTGATATTTTTGGGCGAAACTCAATTTGAGTTATTCACCAAAGTGTAACGATATGGACCGTTTAATGGGACAATGTTACCTGGCAATGAGATATATAAATCGGAGTGCTTTATAAACAAATGAATTAATGATAATTTGACGCAAAGAAACGTGACCCTTATGTTAGGCTTAGAAACGTGACCCTTGTGTTGCGCTTAGAAACGTGACCCTTGCGTTACGCTTAGAAATGTGACCTCGACATAAGGACGACCGTAAAAAACACTTTCTAGAGGTCAACTTTCGTCACAAATCGGTATAAAATTCACGTACACACATCCAGCACATAATTCGCATACGTATATTTAGCATCGTACATAATAAAACTTGATTTCTAATTAGGACAGGAAGAAATAACCAATCATCTTCTGTTTCCATAAGTTCGAAAAGTTGTAGCGTTTCTTCATGCTTCCAGCTGAGTGATACGCTTGGATATTTCATTCTACGTAAGGCCTGGAAACTTTTCCTGCAGTCTCTACGTGTAATCGTAATCACGTATAATCGATTTACACGTATTTGATGGCGTGAACATTCTTACTTTCCATCATAGCATTATTTCATACGATCCCTACATGATCTCTACCATTCTTTTGGCTAGGACATGTTCTCTTTTTCTTTTCCTCCTAACTACTACAAGTATACTATTAATTATTTTGCACAGTTCTCATCAGCTCCTATCGTCTCTTCAGCTAAAGGAGTTCTTTTTTTCCTTCCATTCTGAATCATTGCTTTAAAGTTATACATCTCATCGTCTATGAAATTTCTCAATCTCTAGTTATATGCGGTAAGGCAAAAGATGAATCGATAAAAAAACATTTCAGGAAAGTGTTGATCGGTTGAATAGGGGACATGTCGCATTTTGGGTATGTGCTACGAGTGATGAAACAGGATATCTCGGATCAAACTATTGGTGGACCTCAGGATTAAAATATCGAAAAATAGTCAAGTCTTGATATTTCTCAAATCATTAAATAATTTAAATTACTGGACTGCCTAACTTTTCCTCATGATATTCAACAAAATTTGTTTACGTTAACCATTCGAACATGTAAGAGCAATTATTATCGATCATATATACAACGAAAGATTACAAATAGATTGACGTGACCTCTATAAGGTGATAGGTTAACCAATGCTTGCAGTTCATACATGCAAATGAACTGCGATCGTGTTACTCTTTCGAATAGATGAACAATCATGAAAGACCTGGGAGAGGTCATCTTGAAGTAATAGTAGGATGTTAGACAATGGAAAAATGTTGGCGCAAAAGGGAGCTGAAAAATTTGCATATATTCATTAACATATATAAAAAAAAATAGGATCTTTGCTTATCCCTTAGTTTAATTGATAATTGTACTGCTGTAGGGCGGCATTGGATGTTAGTCCTCTAATATACGTTCCATATCAATGTAATCAATAAAATATTGCAACCCATTGTATCCTGTGATGTTACTCTTTTCGTCTATTACTGGGTAATATTAGTAACATCATTCTTCCCATCGATATTCATTCAGCTTTTTGATCCAATCAATAATCTTACCAATCATCCATTAATCATTATCATTTTCTCTACACATATTAGTCATACCTTTCACATGAAATGATGAGTAAGACAAGAAGATGCAATAGATAGTTTGTATAATGTGGAATCGTTGAATTTGAACAATCATTTTTTTAAAAATTCTGTATGATTTGAAGATGGATCTTTACTTCTTTTTTTTTTGTTCGAAATTGCAAAAATTTTTGATCAAATGAATTGATAAATTTAATTACTTCACCTATTCAAATACAATTAATAATTATAATAATGAATAAAAATAGGTCATAATGATATGGATTACACATTCTATTTTTCATATAGCTGTTATGGGTGATAAATATGAAATGATCGATCAAAATAATATTAACCTGTTGACATCACCAATGGAATCACCATTTGCTGATCCAACACCATTACCAGATCCAGAAGCAGAACCATTAAAAAGTTCTACTACTGATCTTTATACCAAAAAGTTTGAACCTGAAAGTAAGCAATTTCCCTCATTCTTTATTAACATTTTAATATTGTTTAATGAAAATACAACCATTAACATTAATCAATTTGTTAGTAACATCAAGATTAGATACTTTCAATGTTTATGAATTTTAGCATTGATTGCTTGCTTAATGATATATTCTCTTGGAATAAATTTGATAGAAAAATTACCAAATTGGTAAAATTATCAAGAAGTTATCAAAAAATTACCAAATTATCAGAAAGTTGCTATAAGCCATCCAATGTAATATTTGCATTTAAATATTTACATCATGTAGAAAAAAAATGACATGTCATCCAGCGTAATATTGATACTACTTTATTTTTGAATATTTAATACAAAAAGAAAAAGAAAACGGAAACTTCTTACATACAATATAATATAATTACTAAAATATTCTATTTTTCAATAAATTTTTTATAAATATTTAGTAGTATTTAAATTTGTTGAAACTTAAAAAAAGAGAAAATTATAAAAATTCGAATAATTTTCCCAAACTATTTATTGTTACTGTTTTTGTATTCATTATGAATATAAATTCCAGAAGAACAAGCAAAAATGTTGTCAGGAAAATTGATAATTATGATATATATTGGTGCAATGATATTAAATATTATTGCATTTAATATTGGTATAACTATTGGCTATTATGCTTTATAAAAACATAAAGGTCAGATATTTTCCATGTTTATGAATTTTAGCATTAGGTCCCTTGCTTAATGATATATTCTCTTGGAATAAATTAAATTTAAAAAATTATCAAATTATCAGGAAGATGAACAAGTTTTTGAGAAAAAAATTCATTTTGAATTCATAAAAAATTGACAAATTAACCTACAATAATAGTAAATTGAAAAAAAGGGTTTTCTCTTTTTTTTAAAAATACAATCACTTAAAACATTATTTAACGGGAATTAAATATTGCTGTAGAATTATAGGAGAAATTTCTAAGTCATGTTAATAGATATTAATTAATATGATTGTCAATCGATGAATCAACTCTTCAACTAACATTTTTTTTATTTTTATTTTTATTTTTTGTTTTTTTCTTCCTCTGTTATATACTTTCAATAAAAAGCAACCTTTTTAGGCTTTTATACGAATTAAACACGAAAAATATTGGCAAAAAAGAAACAATGGAAGTTTTCTCTAATCTAATCATATCAAGCTCTAATCATGTCAAGCTTATCAGTTGAATATGAATTTATAGAATATAATAACAATTCTACTACCGTTAACTACACTCTTTAAAGATTGTCAAACTGGAGAGAAAAAAAGTATAGGAAAGCATATTGAATAAATGATTGCTTATATAAAATGTATACAGATAAGGAAATGGATATTTGAATTATTTCATGCTATGTGCTTTAAAATAATCCAAAATGTTGAATTTAAATTAGCGGTTATTATATCTACAAGAGTTATTATTAAAAAGAAAAAAACTTAAAATAAAGAAATAAAGTTTAAACTTTGTATTTGTGGCAAAATTATTGATTATTTATAATAAAATTAATATAAATGAGACAGAAATGTAAACAAAAAGAGTGAAATGGGTTGAGAAATAATGTAAAGATGATTTATTACAAAGTTATCAATGAAATCTACAAGAAGAGTTGTCTTCGGGGAAAATTCTTGGAAATTAAATTAAGCTATGCTACAAAACAGAAATGATAGTGAAAATAGAAAACCAAATGTTATGAATCAAATCATTATTTATATATTGCGGATTTAAAGTTACCGGGTAATATGTTGAATGAATTAAATTTAACATTCTCCCTTTTAGTTATGATCGAAAAAATGAGACAAATGATAAAAACGAACGTGAACACAATGATCCCACTTCTAATGTTGCCTTATCGAAGTTTTACAAACTAGAGAAATTTTCAGGAATTGATAGGATTGGTGGCTCAATTGTCTATTGGGAAACACTGCAAAAGAACTGTCTTATAGTTATCCATGTGAAAGGAACTGAAACAGTGTAAAATCAGTTAAATGATAAAAAGTAAAATTTTGAGTTTACCCAATCTATAAAGATATGTTAAATGTGTTTATGAACTGATTAATTATAAACTTTATATGATATTCATAAAAGCAACAATTATTCATCACAACAACAATTAATCCACAGCAAAAGCCAAATAAATATCCCATTGGTCGCATTTTTTTTTCCGTTGATAATTGTCGATGATAGGATCAAATAGTATGGTATATCGATAAGCAAAACAGAATATTAGTTTTGCACGTACTGTCCCATCACTGAGATGGTTGCATTGTTTAATGAATGGTTAGGGAATACGAGTTATTAGAAGACTCTCCTTTATGTCGAGTAATTTGCGCTAACATACCAAAGTGGTTAAACTACAGTGATGATATCAGTATTTTATTGTATCTTAGCTATTTTATATATAAAATTCCAACTTCTAACAACCATTTCAATTTTTACCCTGTATAAATTGTTGCAAAAGTTAAAATCATTAATTTTTTCGGGAAATAGAAATCGAATTTGCAAATGTTTGCTAGATTGGTCCAAATCTGCCAAATCTAGCAGATATGAAAAATCCCCTGCGCTTTATTTCCAAGTTTCGAAAATTTCCAAAGGCGCTTTATTTAGCTTTACTCGTTTTTTCCAAGTTTTGGACGAGTATTTGCGAAATGTGGCACGTCTGGTACGTTTATTTCTAATCTAAAATTTATGGTAAGGTGAAATATAGTACATTTCTATTATATATGGCCTAATTAGCAAGCAACTTTTGACTGTTACTATTATTGTTATGAGAATAATGGAAAAAGGATAGGCAGGAGAGGGTAAATCTTATATATGCAATGGAACTGTCAATGGAACAATGGAACCATGAGCTCCTGGAGCACGAGCGCAAAATGTAGCGTCAACGTCAGAATGAGGAGCAGCTCGTGCTCCACTTCCTCGAACAACAGCAACATGAGGAGCAAGGAATGGAGGAACTAGTACCGGGACTGGAGAGAAGGAAGAGATGGCGGAGTGGCGGCAGGTAACTTACGACCGTTTCTCAATGAGGGACATATTCTTTCTCAATGAGGAACTCAATGGGGAACATAACTTAGACCGTTTCTCAATGAGGAACATATAAAAACGGTCCCAAGAGCGTCGCAGTGATCCCGGGACGCAGAGAAGTGGAAGCAACTGCAAGTTGTACTGCAAGTTTACTTCCCCAACAATGCAAATGTGATGTAAAATACTCGCCTCAGTTTCTTTTGCCTTCTAACCTTTGTTTTCTAGCTTTTTAACTTAGACTGGTGACATTTCATGTATGTGATTTGTTTCATAACATGTATGTGTGTGTGTGTGTGTGTATGTGTGTATATATGTGTGTGTGATTTGTTTCATAACTTCTATGTCCATACCAAAAACAAATAATCAAATATGCTAATTAAGTAATCTAAGCAGCAGTTTTAAAAGTTTTAGAAGTTATCTTTTTAATGTTCTTACTATTTTGATGTGTTATTCAAATGATAAATTATAAATAGGAAGCAGCAGAGCATATTTTTCTTGACAGCGAATGATGGAACCTTCAAAAACAATTTGGACATTGATAGTTATATCAGTCCAATATATATATGTATATATATATATATATTGGATATATATATATATATATGTATATATATATATATATTCTTGTTACTCCATCTTATAAATTACAATGTGCGAAAATGTCATAATAAGGTTGCAAGACACAACTATTACCTATGTCACGATAAAATATTGTTCATTTTTGGGACATAAAAGTAAACCATTATTTGCTATGGAACAAATCACACACATGAAAGGTCACGAGCTAAGTCAAAAAGCTAGGAAACAAAAGCTGGAAAGCAAAAGAAACTGGGAGAACGATCAAAATTGGAATATAATCATTTGCAATGCAATTAAGATTCCAATAATGCCTATGAATGCAAATCGAAAATAGCCCAATATGTTTGGATTAACAATTGACTGACACCACAAAAACGGAAAACCGAAAATTTCCATAACAATACTACCAAATGCAAATAGAGTTATTCGATACCGTCCGGATAAAATATACTTTTAACCAATAACATTTAATACCAATAATCCGCCAGTATCAATTTATGCAAGTCCTTACATTCTCTATACCATAGAAACTATGCCTTTAGCCTCTAACATTTAATACCAACGCAACGCCAGTTTCAGTTTATGCAAATCATCACATTCTCTGTGTCATCAAAACTTTCAAGTTTTCACTATTTTTAGTAGTCCAAAATAGTCCAAAATCGCATTCATCAACTGCCGGCTCAAAGATCGGAAAATGATAATGGAAGAGTGAGGAATATAAAAAATAATGTGAAACGCATGAATTAAAAACTGTTCGAAACTTTGGTCGTTTAATTCCAACCAATCTGAAATAAAAAGCTTCCATTCGAGCTTTTTTGCCATTTCAAAAATTCTTTACTTCGCCTTGTACTTCACTACATCGATAGCATCAATGACATACGTCTTTTGGTTCAATTTTCTGCTATGCATCGCTTCAGTTCAAAACGTTCCAGGTAAGAAATGTTCATTCTATGTCCAACGGAAGATCCTCAATTAGGCCATACTTCGGTAAACACATCAAACTACCAAAAAGCTTATTAAGTCAACAAAATCATTCGGACAAAGAGTATTTCTTAGAAAAGTATTTCTTAGAAAACATCAATATCCGTGGCAAAGTAGATTTAACACTAGTTGCCTCAGATACATGTACATATAACAGTAGATGGGGAAATGCCAATGGATAATTACCGGAAACAAGTAGTAAAGCATTATATAATAGCATATCGTTTTAATCCTTTCAGTTTTTGCTTTTACCCAATTGGATGAAGTTAAAGATATAAACTGAAAGAATCCCAAATCTGAAGCTGATCTCCTTGCAGCGAAAAAATTCAGAATTACCCCTCATCATACATTCTTCTGTTAGAGGCAACATGAGAATGAGCTTTTTGCTTTAGTAATAGATGCTTTAATAATAGATAAGAATAGATATTTGCTTTAATAATAGATATGTGGAATTCATAATTTGATGCTCACTGTAATATTTCACTGACTACAGTAGATAGCTGCTTGTTATATGCCGCAGTTGGTATTTGGCAGTTACTGATGTGATAATGAACAGAGTGACAGAATTCAAGCAATTAGCGTCTTTACAGTCCGATGAATTTAAATGATGTTGACAATGGTGACAATAATGTTATCACTGATACATCAAAAACAAAGTTCATTAGGTTAACAACAAAGTTCATTAGGTTAAACGAAGTTCATTAGTTCAAAGTTCATTAGGTTAACAAAATCACTCGAGCAATGGGTATTTCTCGGAAAACTTGAGCATCCACAACAACTTGGATATGGGAACATATAACAGTGGATGGGTAAATACTAATGGACAGTTATCGGGAACAAACAGTAAAGAATTATGTGACGAAATGCCGTTTTAATTCCTTCAGTTCATCCTTTACTCAATTGCATGAGATTGAAAATACAAGTGGCAATTAGTTTAAGATCGATACTGTTCTCGTCCTCACCAAAAAATTCACAACTATCCGTCGTACGAGATTCCACAAGATGTAACCATCCATCAGATGTAAGACTTAGATTCCGTCGCAAATATATACAAAAAAAATAAATAGTTTTGCGTGTTCTAAATTAACTGGGATGTGAAGTTTGTTTTATGGCACTGACAACGTGGATTTAATACTATTTGCTTCAGATACGGGTACATGTAACAGTAGATGAGGAAATACTCGTGGACAGAGAACAAGTACTAAAGCATTATATAACGACATGTTATTTCAATTCCTTCAATTTATCCCTTACTCAATTGCATGAAGTTGAAAATATAAGCTACAAAGAAATCCAAATCCGAAGCTGTTCTCGTTGCACTCAGAATTACCCCTTATCCGATATTCTTCCATTAGAGGCAACACTGAAATGAGCTTTTTGTTACTAAAAAAAAAAAAAAAACAGGATAAAAAAATGAACATCTCGTAATTTTAGTTAGCCGAAATGTGTTCTGATAGGTTTAATAAATTATGCTGATACAGTCATTTCTCAAATTATATTCATTAATTACATACAAAATATTTGCAAACACGAGCGTCATATCAGTTTTCCAGTTAGGCGGATGAAGATTAAATGTCGTTATTGTAATACGACTGTGCAGACGAGGAAGGAATATTCAAAACATCTTGAAATGCACGAGAAATATAACTTCACTTGCCCCGAATGTGGCAAAACATTCTATTCCTCAAGGGGATTTCGACACCATGAAGATGTGCATCAACCTAAATCTCAATGTGAAATTTGTAACAACTCCTTTTCTTATAAAACTACACTACAGCAACACAGGCTGTCGCAGATTCTTTCTTGTCCGCGATAATAACTAGGAGTTCTTGTAATTCTTCTTGAATTGTTTTCACTCAACTCGGATGATTAAACCTCAAACTTGGGTAATTAAACCTTTTATTCAGCAATTACAAGCACGCCAGCAACATAAACGCGAATGCAACCAGCCACCCGGTACCCTCCTTTGTATCCAAAATCCCAGCTATCCCAGGGATGAGGTGGAGGCGGAGTTATTGTGAAGAATGATTTCCCACGGTATGGGAATGGTTGTTGTACTTAAGTGCATTGATACATTGGCATGGAATATTCTAAAATATGCTTATGAACAAAGCTTAATCACATTCAATAAGATTTCAATAAGACAATTAATTATTGGAAATTGAGTATCACTTATTTTCTTCTCTCGCGATTTCAGCGACACAGGCGACTACAAC